TTTGGGAAACGCCTAGGAATGTTCAGAGTTATGGAATTCGATGTTCTATGACCCATTTCCCGCGTATTTCCTCTTATCGGCTCCTAAATACCAAATTCTTTCCGATTCCTTTCGAGAAGAATTCCGCACAGAGCACTTTATTCGTTATAAAAGACAATATTACAAGTATGTTGAAACTAATTACTATTTGATAATTGCTAGTATGCCGAAATGTATTTCTTATGTTCTTTTATTTGATAGATAGAGAGAGAGTTATATTAACTACTGCTTTATAAAGTAACAAGAGGCTACTGGTGAAGGACGCAATTTGAAACTCGGTCCAGAGACGAAAACGACACCTGAGCTGTCACCCCTTCTCGAAACTACCACATCGGGCTAACTAGAGGACTTTGATTCAAGCAGATTTAGCTTGCATCAGCTCCCTCTACACCAGGGGCTTTTAACCTTAATCCCCATCTGGGTACATCTGATAAAAAGGAAATTGTTGGTGGGTGCAGTTCAAAAGAAGTATAACGATTCTTAATATTTCTTTATATTATTGCAATCAAAAGCATTATATATATATAAACAACATGTATTTTGAAAAGGTAACAAAAAATTCAAAATAGTTACATGAAATGCGATTTTGGAGTTGCATATTGTCCACTTATTTTTCAAAGTTAGACGTATAAGATGATATTTCCAATCTTATGGGATCTTCGAAATTGCTATCGTGAAGTCGCGATCTGATTGTTGATTTAATTGTGTTCATTGTTGAAAACCCCGACTCTCATAAATATGTGGAACCAAAGCAGGATTTTAATTTGTAAGCTCCTTTTTTCAAAAGGGATATTTTTTATCTCCGGCTATATAGATTCCAAACATTTTCATTAAATCCCCTGATTTTAATACAATATCTTAGTCTGAATATTTGAAATCTCATCCTCAATTAAAGATGCTTCTTTAATTGAGTTAAATGAATAGTTTTAAATGAATAGTTTTCTCCATGAAATTCGCATTTTTAGAAATATTATAATAATCGAAAATTTCTGGAATCTATTTCCGAATTGTTCCATAAGCTTCTGAAGGTGAACAATAATTAAATTTGGGTCAAACGAATTTCACCGATGATTTTTTTTTCATTTGCGGAAAATGGTGGAGAGATCTTTTTGATAATTTTTCTCTTTCCAGACTTGTAATTTTGATTTAAAACTATTAATTGCAAAAACCGTTTTTACTATCTATTTATTTTCCCCTGAACTTGAAGGCTTAAAATATTCAATTTTCGCAAATATTATTTGAAAATGCCGTCAAACTGAGAAGGTCATCCAATTGTTCGAAACATTTGCCTGTTGAAATGAAATATTTTTTAATCGCTTCTAGATGTTCAAAAAATCAGGTGAAAGTTTTACCTCTACTTAACATCTTATGACTGGTGTTGCCGGTAGAATAAATTTACGGCTTATGTATTTTTTTCTTCTAAAAGTATGTTGAATCTCGTGTTTACACAAAAAATCATGGCGGGTCACAGTTTGTTCACGGTTGATATTGATATAGTATAAAGCGAACAGTCACAGATACATTGGCACCCGCGTACAAAGGGTTAAGAGCCCCTGCTCTACACAGTGGCTCTTCAATAGCACCAGGACTCGAGCTCGTGACTCACCTGTCCTGCGTTTAAGGCCTTAACTACTCGATAAATGGAAGGTGGTTTTATATTTGCAGGATAAATCTATTCATTTCATTTTAATCAATATATATGCATGATGAATGATATGGTATCCAACTACCTAAAATCATGATTTTTTTTTCAAAAATTGACAATTTTTTTATGATTTTATTTTATAGGCCATCTTATTAGCTTAATAAAAATACTAAGCTTTTTATTTTCCATTCGATAGAACAAAAACTATAAGTGTTTTAACAAAAGAAGATGCCATAACTTTACACAGGAAGTCAAACTTTAAAATGCGTTTTACTCGAAATGTGTTTTTTTTCGGAAAACATAAACGGGGACAGCGATTGCTCAAAAAGTTTTGAAAATAATTTGCTAAAAATTTTTTGTGAATGTTTTGTATAACAGTAGAAGTGTTTTGACCTTCAGATTTATCAATCACTGTTTTATTACAAAATTTACAATCCTTTGGGTGAATATAATCACTGTTTTTTTAAGCAATTTCATATAGTCACTTAGATATAGTGCTCTATAATTTTTGTAAAAATTAAAATATCTATTATCCTAGAGGTCATTTCAAGCAGAATTAACAATGCAACACATTAAAATTGAAAAATTCAGAATTTGTTAAAAAATGTTTTATACAGAGCGGGTCCCGTTTATGTAATTTTTTGTACATTTTCACCAGTTTTTTCCCCCTTTAATAATAACAAAAAAAAAATTTAGTTTTCAATTTTACGATTTTTCCCTTAAAATATACTAAATAAATCTGAAAATTACAAAAACATCTCCATATCTCCATTTTATCAAAAAAATTGTCGCAAGTAGTCGGATACCTTAATCGAATTCAAATTTGAAATTCGAAATTACTTTATCAAGAACAAAATTTTGTGGAAATTAGACAATGAACAGGAGCTCAGTTAAAAAGTTAGTTTTCGAAGATTTATTCAACTCCATTAAAATAGAAGATATAATTCAGGTACTTTCAGATGAGAAATAGGGTTTGAATAATTACATCATTTTTGAAACGTTCAATAAACTAATTCGCTTTGCAATACAAGAGAACTTCATTTTTTTTTTATTTTTGATAACAAACTTTACAAACAAATCAAAGGATTGCCTCAGGGTGGTCCAGCCAGTAATAGTCTCGCTAACCTGTATTTACACCACTATGAATCAATTCGAAGGAAAGATCCCTCTTGCCTCTTGTTAAGATACATACATGATTTAATTGTTATAGGTCGTGACAGGGAATTTAAACCTAGCATTAATTTTTATCCGGAGTACCTAAACTTAATACAGACGAATTTTAACTCGAACAAAGTTGAATTTTTACATTTAGATTTAACTATTATTGACAACAAATTATATAGCAATATATATGATAAAAGGGAAGCATTTAAATTCAATGTCATAAAGATACCGAACTTCATTAGTTGTCTACATATATCAATATTTAGAAATATAATTTTAAATTTTCTGAAGAGAAATAATAATTTAACTACACACAATATTGATAAATTCAAGAATATCCCGAAATTTATATTGTGTTGCATACAGAATGATTATCCCATCAACTTCTTGAGAAAATATATAGATCAGAAATATTTCTTAAAAATATTTTTAAAATCATAAATGCACAAACATAACACACATAAACACACAACATTAGGTCCACAAAGTCAGCTTGTTAGTGGTCCAGCTGTGAAGTATATGTGCATTCCACACACAGGATACATTTTAATGCACACTTAGACCAATATTTACACGACTACACTTTAAAATTATTTATGACCAATTAAACATTTATGTCCAATCAAACATTCATGACCAATCAAATGATTATGACCAATCAAGGAAGTTTTTTGCATGCGGTCTGGTTTGCATCTAATGCCAAGTGGTTAAACTTTAGTGTCAGATTATGAATCGTTTGGATTGACATGGCATTAGTAGGTGTTATGAGAAAAATATGGGTGTGGTAATTGATATATTAAATATGAGAAGTCGTTCCATAGATATGAATTGAGTTCTTGATAGGATGCTCTTTGGTGAGTTTTTAATGTTTTACGCTATTCATTTGTGAATATACTGTATTTTTAATTTGAACACTTTCGGTTTTTAGATATTTTTTGATTTAAACTTTCGGATTTTTTGATTTAAACTTTCGGATTTTTTGATTTAAACTTTCGGATTTTTTGATTTAAACTTTCGGATTTTTTGATTTAAACTTTCGGATTTTGATTTAAACTTTCGGATTTTTTGATTTAAACTTTCGGATTTTTTGATTTAAACTTTCGGATTTTTTGATTTAAACTTTCGGATTTTTTGATTTAAACTTTCGGATTTTTGATTTAAACTTTCGGATTTTTTGATTTAAACTTTCGGATTTTTTGATTTAAACTTTCGGATTTTTGATTTAAACTTTCGGATTTTTGATTTAAACTTTCGGATTTTTTGATTTAAACTTTCGGATTTTTTGATTTAAACTTTCGGATATTTTGATTTGAACTTTCGGATATTTTGATTTGAACTTTCGGATATTTTGATTTGAACTTTCGGATATTTTGATTTGAACTTTCGGATATTTTGATTTGAACTTTCGGATATTTTGATTTGAACTTTCGGATCTCAAATATCTTTTATACATATACAACTATTTTAAAGATGGGTGCATCATCTTTGGTGTTCGATGGTTCACTTATATTATTCACTAAATTATTTTTGAATTTTAATATTTTAGTGTTTTAATATCTTTCAGAATGCGATGGCGAATAGTTTAATTTTTTAAGTATAATGGTTTATTTTTAATTTTTAATTTATAAATTTTTGAAATTTGGATATTTTCCGATTACTTACCAAGTTGCAATAGGGTGAAGGTTGGCACCATCAAACTAGTTTAACCCCACTTATCGGTCCTAAGTCCGAAGTTGCACTTGGATATTTTATAAATTTTTATTTTATTTTATAATTTTTTAATAATTTTGTTTGAAAACGATGGAGTTTTATCTTTTATATTCACCATTGATATTTTTTGAAATTGGTTTTAGTATTATAAGATTTGTATATTTCAATTTTTCAATTGATTATTGTGATTAATTGTTGATGATTGTTTTTATATATTTAAATATATATATATATATATATATATATATATATACAAATTTTAAACCGTTAGTAAAATACTCTTTTATTCGTCCACACCAAATACATTTTTTAAAAATTTTGTAGTGTATGGCACTTGATGTTAATACATTTTTTCAAGTATTAATTCATTAATTTTTTTAATCAACGAATAAATATTAGGAAGCAGTCGAACACATGCATAAAAAGGAAACCTGCTCAATACGTCTCTGTAGCGCAATGGATAGCGCATTGTTTTTCTAATCCAAAGGTCATGGGTTCGAATCCCATCTGGGGTGGCCTAATTTTTGAGAATGTGATTTATTTTTATTGTGTAACAAATGGTAATATTTATTATTTATTTATTGTAATGACCATCAGATAGCGTCACCAGACAGAGTACTAGTTTAGTTTCCCCTGGCGGGAAACCGGATGAAAGAAAGATTAAGACGGGGAAACTGCTAGTGTACGCATCGCGCGGGAAATCCTTCCCACGTGTTCCTGCATTGTATATATTTATCCTAGATCTGCATATATGTACTTGTGTACAGTAAATAAACTGTATTTAGCCCTGAGGCGAATAAATTTCCTCTAATGATTTATCCATTCATCCCAGCGTGTTAAAACTGGCGGCCAGACCCGTGGCCTAAGAGCTCCCCGTAGAAGCAGAAACCGCCGCAGGAAAATGAAAATTTAACCGGCTCTGTAAACCTTACTGTCCCGGAAGAAATTACTGGTATTGCGCCGCAATCCTTCTAAAGCAAGAGATGAACCCGGAATACGTTTTCATTTTCTACGTTCCTGCCAAAAATCTCTGGAAATCGAAAGAGACAAAGTGAATCATCCTGACTTTAATGGTCTGTAGAAGAAAAAGAAAATCTATTTCACGTTGAAAGTTTTCAAAAATTCGCGGTAGCAATCCTGCTACAGTGTGTTAGTGCTAGTGATAATTTCTTCGAAATTTGCGGTACCAATCCTACTATAGTGTGGTGAGTGTTTTTTTTTTCAAGAAGAAAAAAGAGAAGTGATAGCAACCCTGCTATAGCGTGGTGAGTGTTTTTTTCAAAAAAAAAGTGATAGCAACTCTGCTGCAGTGTTATTGACTGTGTCAGGACACCTGATATATACTAAATTCATCATTACACATGAATACTGATTTCGATAATCATTTTGCTTGATATTTTATAGAATTTCAAATTGAATTTATGTAGCATTATACACAATTTTATTTGCATAATCTTATTTTTTTATTTTATTTCATTGATTTTTTTGGTATTCTTATGCAATATATGATAATTCTTAATTTTGCTTTATATTAATTTATTTCTTGAGAGATAACGTTTCTTGTTTAATATTTTGTGAATTGCATAGTAATAATTACTATTTTGCTCAATATTTTACTGATTTCCTACTGAATTTAGGTAGCATTACATGCCTGAATATTTTAGTTTTGTTTAGTATTTTCATTGCATTGAATTTTTGTATCATTACAACTGATGATTCCTAAATTTTGTTTATATTATTTTATTATTTGAATTAATGTTCCTTGTTAGTATTTTGAATATGTTATTAATTTATTTACCTATTTTAATTGTTTTTTGAAGTACATAATAATTTATAAGGTTTTAAAGCTAGCTATATTTTAAAGTGTATTCCCATATCTGTAAGAGCTTTGGTGGACAATCAGGCCCTGACCTTAGTTATTTATTTTATTTATTTGCAACTCTTAAATTTCTCAGTCATGTCCTTTCTGGGAAAAAAGAAAAAAGCTCATCTCATTATACTTGCTATTGAGTTAGGTAAATGTGAGTAAGACGGCTAAAAATAATGAATTAAGGGCAAACATTTTAACAAATGATGCTTATAAGGAAGACCCTGAATTTGTCAACTGTATCTTTGAGGGAATCGTATCAAATGGGATAGATGAGGAAAACGAACAAAAAGAGCAAACACTGCGTGAATTTGAGATGCAGAATATACGACTGCAAAATGAGACTCTAAGAGTCGTAGGTCCACAAACCCTGCCCCAATCAAAAATTGAATTAAAAAAGTTGCTACTAACATTCAATTTTGAAGTTGATAACATGGACCTGTTACTCACCTTATTTGAACGGCAAATGAAGCTATTGGATCTTGGTGAAGATCTGTGGGTACCCTATATCTCATTGGTGCCCTACCTAGTGATGTAACCTCCCTCATTGCCCGTGAGCCTGAGGAGAAATGCAGGGATTACTCCCAGATTCGAGGAATGCTTCTGCAACGGCTCAAGTTAACCAGAGAAAAATTCCGGAAGCTGTTTTCATGTCAAAGAAAAAGCCCAAATGGGACGTGGAAGGATTATTATTTTGAAATCCGAGCATATTTTGAAGGTTGGCTCAATGAGCTTAAAATTGATTCATTTGACGGATTGAAGAATTTGATGATTGCCGATCAAATGAAAAAAGGATGCTCTCCAGAGTGTAAGGAACATTACCTGGATATCTGGGAAGAACTTATCTCACCAGAAATGTTAGCAGATAAGCTGGAAGCTTTTGACAACATTCAGCGTTACCTACCAGTGGAGCTAGGAGACACGTGAAAACAAGTGAAACCGTAAATGATGGAAGACAGGTATCATTCAGAAAACCTAAACGTCCTTCCAAAAGAGAATTTTCTCATCAGGTACCAAATGAGAGATCCTCTCTCAGATGCTATGGTTGTGGGAAACAAGGAGTGATAAAATCTAGGTTCCCCACCTGCAACCTCAATGCCTCACAAAGAACAGACGTAGCAACCAATCACATCAATGCTTACACAGCTCAGACCAGAAGCCCTCAATTGACCCTAATCGACATAACTTTCTGTAGAATAAAGGGATGTGTATGTGCAGACACAGGATCTTCACATTCAATTGCTGGGGAAAGGATGTTCCAGATATTTAAGGATATAAGGGACTCCTTTTCCAGGAAACCACATTAGCAATGAGCTTAGCAGATGGTCAACAGACCACAGGAGAGGCCCTCACAACCCAAGTAATGGTAGAAATTGAGGGGAGATCAGTCTTGACCAAATTCATAATTCTCGCAAAGGGAAATAGAACACTTCTAGGAACAGATTTCCTTAGTTCTGCTGGTTTGGTTCTAGATGTGAAGAATACTTGTTGATACTTCTGGGACAATCCTACCCACAAGTATCCATTTGGTGAAGAATTGGACACCCCGTCCATAGTTGAAAAGATGTCCAGCAACACCTGCCAATTAAGGAAAGGGGAAGGTGAAAGTTTGACCTCTGCCCAGAAGGAGAAACTTAACCTCCTGCTGAAATCCTTCCAAAATGTCTTCGCACCAGGGGGAGAAGCAAAAAATATCTTGGAGCACCACACTGCTTTAACTCCTTATAATAATGACAGAGTAAAACCCCTTATTCCCCTCTTCGTAAATGTGGCCGTCCACCAAAGGTCCCACCGATTCCTGGTTCCTCGTCGAGACGCCGTCGGAACCAGAGGGGGAGGATGTAACAAATTGTAATATTTATTATTTATTTATTGTAAGGACCACCAGATGGCGCCACCAGACAGAGTACTAGTTTAGTTTCCCCTGGCGGGAAACCGGGTGAAAGAAGGATTAAGATGGTGAAACAGCTAGTGTACGCATCGCGCGGGAAACCTTCCCACGCGTTCCTGCATTTTATATATTTATCATGTTCCTACATTGTATATATTTATCCTAGATCTGCATATATGTACTTGTGTACAGTAAATAAACTGTATTTAGCCCTGAGGTGAATAAATTTAATCTAATGATTTATCCATTCATCCCAGCGTGTTAAAATTGTACTATTTTATTGGAATAATTAAATTAAATTAATGAATAAAAATTGTGACTAACAAAAATAGTGATCCAACAAGACCCTCTATATAGAAAGAAAAATGAAAAATCGCTTTCTTATTTGTCACTTAATAGTGTGATTCTGTCCTATGTATATACAGATTTATATGAATGGTAACTATTTAGTGTAAAAAATAACTAAAATAAAACTTTTTCTTTGTTGATTTAAGTAGGAATAAACTTTTTATATTACTTGTTTCATTGTTGCTGAAACTTGTAGCTATATGCAAATAAAAACATATCTTCTATTTATTACTTGAGTAGAAAGAGAATGTACTAAGATATACACGTGTTATTTTTTCGTTAAAATAAGTATTTCAGATTTAAAGATTATTCCCTGATGGGAGGAATTCTCTTTAGTGTCAACCTTTGTTACTACTACTTACTACCCTTGACTACTTGTGACCCCTATTTTGACACAGATTTTTGCTTTCTGCAAGAGTCTTGAAATGGTGGTTCACTAACTGCCTCATATCTAATGGTTATGTTTAAAATATCATACTAAATTAATTTCCATTTTAAAAATCAGCATTCAAACAAAAATTCTTTATTTAAATATAGAAATAATTGAGATTGTATAGACGCCTAACATTCAAATTGTTTCAAAGAGGTAGAGACAAATTCGGAAATAATTTAAATATTGTACATTCTGCGAAAATAAAATGAATGAGAAAACTAAATTTTTTGTGTACAATTAACATAAGCTTCTCTACTTATTTTTTCAGTTTTCTTCGCGACTCTATAATTCACTCAGATGTATCATTTCTTCTTTAAGAAATGAATTTCAATGGGGGTTCTATTCGGGCTTCTACTAATCCTCCTGGAGAAAGCACGCCTTTTAACTGTGATTTTAATTAAAAATCACTTTCTGTACAGACGACTTGATTTTATACAAACGGAAATTTCTATTTAAGTGCCAGTCGCGGAGTATGCAAAGTGATGGTTGAAAGTTGATCCTAAGCAGAAATCATACTGTGAGCGAACGGTGGTAAAACTTTGCAATATTAATTCCAAAGAGAAGGATCCATAGAAAGGTGGAAGTCATCCACTTTACGGCTGACGATTTAGCAAGTTGACACCAAGAGCTTTCAAGAGAATAAATAAGTGCTTATATACCGCGGGTGGTTATAAATAAAGTTACCCTATTCAGAGGCCTGTAAAACTCGTTCTGTTTTTTGGATTTTGATGAAACTTAATATATGCTACATGGACCATAGGGAAAAGGTTTCTGCAATGAAAAATAGCTCAAATTTTGACCACTAGGTGGAAATGTGGTGCTCAAAGAAGGGCAAAAAATATATTTAAATAGTTAAAAGTTATTGAATTACAGATTATGCTCAACATGTACTCCATTGACCTCAATAATGTGTCGAAAGCGCATTATTGCGTTTTCAATGGCAGCGCGAAGCCGCTTACGAGGGATTTGAGCCACA